GGAAAAAAAAAAAAGAGACAGATGTGGTGGTACATGCCTGTCATCTCAGCTACTTGGGGGGATTGCCTGAGCCCAGGAAGTTGAGGCTGCAGTGAGCCATGATTGCACTAGTGCACTCCAGCCTGGGTGACAGAGCAAGAACCTATCTCCAAAAGAAAAACAAAAACAAAAGAAACAAAAAGAAAGAAAAAAAGAAGGTCATTATGTAATGATGAAGGAGTCAATTTATCAAGATGGTATAACAATTGTAAACATATGCACCCAATATTTGAGCAACTAAATATATAAAACAAATACTAATAGACCTGAAGGAAAGAGAGACTAATACAATAATACTAGGGGACTTCAACACCCTACCTTCAGCAATGGACAGATTGTCCAGGGAGAAAATCAATGAGAACACATCAAACTTAAACTATACTTTAGACTAAGGGGACCTAATAGGCATATATAGAATATTTTATCTACAAGCAGAAAACTACCACTCTTCTCAATTGTACATGGGACATTCTACAGGATATATCATATGTTAGGCTACAAAACAAGTTTTAACAAAGTAAAGAAGGCTGAAATTATATCAGATATATTTTTTGACCACAATGATATGAAATTAGAAATCAATAACGAGGAATTTTGAAAAATCTGCAAATACATGGACTCCCAAACAACCAATGGGTCATTGAAGAAATTAAAAGGAAAAAAGTTTTAAATCTTGAGGCAAATGAAGATAGAAATATAACATATCAAAACTTATGGGATACAGCAAAAGCAGTTATAAGAGGGGAAGTTTATAGCAATAAACACAAGAATACATCAAGAAAGAAGAAAGATCTCAAACAACCTAATGTTACACCTCAAGAAACTAGACAAAGAAGTAGAATTAAGGCAAAAATTAGCAGAAAGAAGGAAACAATAAATATCAGACCAGAAATAAATGAGTTCAAAACTAGAAAAAAATAAGATCAACAAAACAAAGCCTAGGCTTTTTGAAAAAATAAACAAAACTGACAAACCTTTAGCTAGACTAAGAAAAAAGAGAAAACATTCAAATGAATAAATCAGAAATGAAAGAGGAGACACTACCTTTCTCATACCACATATATACAAAGAATCGTAAGACCCTACTATAAACAATTTAATGCCAACAAATTGGATAACCTAGAAGAAATAGATAAATTCCTAAACACATAAAGCCTACCAAGACTGAATAATAAAGGAAAATCTGAACAGACCAATAATGAGTAAGATTTAATCCATAATAAAACACCATCCACCAAACAAAAGCTCAGGACCAGATGCTTTCACTGTTGAATTCTACCAAATATTTAAAGAACAAATAGCAATCCTTTTCAAACTCTTCTCAAAAATTGAATAAGAGGGACTACTTCCAAACTCATTTTATGAAACCAGCATTACCCTGATACCAAAGCTAGACATGAGCACTACAAGAAACGAAAATTACAGGCCACTATCCTTGATAAACGTATATGAAAAATCCTCAACAAAATACTATCAAATCAAATTCAATAGCACATTAAACACCATGATCAAATAAGATTTATCATTGGGATGCAATAATGGTTAAACATACACACATCTAAAAAGGTCATACACCACATTAATAGAATGAAGGACAAAAACCATATGATCATCTCAATAGATGTAGAAAAAGCATTTGACAAAATTCAACATTTTTTCATGATAAAAACTCTCAGAAAAATAGATACAGAAGAAATGTATCTCAGCACAACAGTGGCCATACGTGACAAGCCCACAGCTAGTATCATACTTAATGACAAAAAACTGAAAGATTTCCCTCTAAGGTTAGAAACAAGAGTAGGATGCTGATATGGTGTGGCTGTGTCCCCACCCAAATCTCATCTTGAATTGTAGTAACCCCCACATGTCATGGGAAGGACTTAGTGGGAGGTAATTGAGTCATGGGGGCAGTTACTTCAATGCTGTTCTTGAGTGAGTTCTCACAAGATCTGATGGTTTTATAAGGAACTTGTCCCCTCTTTGCACTGCACTTCTCCTTACTGCTGCCATGTAAAGAAGGACATGTTTGCTTCCCCTTTTCTGCCATGATTGTAAGATCCTGAGGCCTCTCCAGCCATGCTGAACTATCAGTCAGTTAAGCCTCTTTCCTTTATAAATTATCCAGTCTTTGGTATGTCTTTATTAGCAGTGTGAGAATGGACTAATACAGATTGCCCATTCTCACTGCTATTCAACATGTTACTGCAAGTCCTAGCCAGAAAAATTAGGCAGGCAAAAGAAATAAAAGCCATTCAAATTGGAAAGGAAGAAGTTTTAAATTGTCCTTATTTGCAGATAACCCGATCTTATCTATAGAAAATCCCGAAGACTCCACCAAAAAAACTGCTAGAACTAATAAACAAATTCAGTAAAGTGGTAGGATATAAATACAGCATACAAAAATCAGTTGCATTTCTATGCACTAACAATAAACTCTGAAAAAGATATCAAGAAAACAATCCAATTTATAATAACTACAACAAAATACTTAAGAAGAAATTTAACTAAGGAGGTGAAATATGTGTACAATGAAAAATCTAAGACATTGATGAAAGAAACTGAAGAACAAAGAAATGAAAAGATACCCCATGTTCATGGATTGGAGGAATTAATATTGTTAAAATGTCCAGACTACTCAAAGTCCTCTAAAGAATCAGTGCAATCCCTATAAAAATTCCAATGGCGGCCGGGTGCAGTGGCTCATGCCTGTAATCCCAGCACCTAGGAGTTTCAGATGGGAGGATCGCCTGAAGTCAGGAGTTCAAGACCAGCCCGACCAACATGATGAAACCTTGTCTCTACTAAATACAAAAAATTAGCTGGGCATGGTGGCGTATGCCTGTAATCCCAGCTACTCGGGAGGCTGAGGCAGGATAATCACTTGAATCCGTGAAGTGGAGGTTGCAGTGAGTTGAGACTGTGCCATTACACTCCAGCCTGGGCAACAAGAGCAAAACTCTGTCTCAAATAAATAAATAAATAAATAAATAAATAAATAAATAAATTCCAAATGGCATTTTTTGACATAGAAAAACAATTTAAAAATTTGTGTGGAAGCACAAAAGACTCCAACTAGCCAAAGCAATTTTAAACAAAAAGAACAAAGCTGAAAGCATCACACTACCTGATTCAATATACACAACAAAGCTATATTAATCAAAAAAGCATGGTGCTTGCATAAAATAGACACGTAGAAAAATGGAACAAAATAGAGAGTTTGGATCCATGCATTTATGGTCAATTGATTTTCAACAAAGGTGCCAAGAATATGCAATGGGTAAAGGACATCTTTCTCTTTAATAAATGGTGTTGGGACAACTGGATATCCACATGCAGAAGAATTAAAATTGACCCCATCTCATGCCATATTAAAAAATTAACTCAAATGGACTTAATACTGAAATTTAATAACCAAGGTTGTAAAACTACTAGAAGAAAATACAGAGGAAAAGCTTCACGACATTGGTCTGAGCAAGTATTTTTGGGGTATAATACCAGAAGCACAATCACAAAAGCAAAAAGAACTGGGATTACATCAAACTAAAAAGCTTCTGCACAGGCAAGGAAACAATCAACAGAGTGAAGAGACAACCTACAGAATGGGAGAAAATACTTGCAAACCATGTATCTGATAAAGGTTATTATCCGAAATACTTAAGGAGCTCAAACAACTCAATATTAAAAACAAACAAACAGATTTTTAAATGGGCAAAGGACCTGAATAAACATTTCTTAAGGGAACACAAGCAAATGACTAACAGATATGTGAAAAAATGCCCTGCCTTTGAAATCATCAAGAAAATGCAAATTAAAACCACAATGAACATCACCACATACTGGTTAGGATGGCTATTATCAAAAACACTAAAGATAACAAACATTGGTGGGGATGTGCAGAAAAGGGAACCTTTGTACACTGTTGCTGGGAATGTAAATTGCTACAATCACTAAGAAAAACAATATGGAGTGTCCTCAAATAAATAAAAAGTAGAACTACCCATACAATCCATGAATTCCACTACTGAATATATATTCGAGGGATATGAAATCAGTACAGATGCTCCTAGAGTTACGATGGGACCACATTTCCATAAACCTACCATAAACTGAACATATCATAAGTCAAAAATACATTCAATACTTTAATAAACCCATTGTAAAGTTGAAAATCATAAGTCTAACCATCATAAATCAGGGGCCATCTGTATACGGAAGAGATATCTGCACTCCCATGTTCATTGCAGCAGTATTCACAATAGCCAAGATATAGTATCTATAACAACCTAAGTATCTATCGATGGGTGAATGGATAAAGAAAATATATACACAATGAAATACATCTATACACTGAAATACTATCTAGCCTTTGAAAAGGAAGAAATCCTGTTATTTGTAACAACAACCACGAACCTGGAGGATATTACGTTATGTCAAATAAGACAGGCACAGAAAGACATGTATGACATCTCACTTATATGTAGAGTGTAATAAAGTTGAATTTATAGAAGTTGAGAGTATACGGTGGTAACAGAGGCTGGGGATATGAGGATGAGGACTGGGGAGATGTTAGCCCAGGGATACAAAATTTCAGTTAGATAGGAGAAATACATTAAGAGATCTATTATACAACACGATTAATATAGTTAATAATGTACTGTATTCTTAAAAATTACTGAGAGAATAGATTTTGCATTATCACCACAAAAACGATAAGTACCTGAGGTAATATTTATACTAATTAGCCCTACGGTAATTATCTATGCTAATTATTTATGCTAATTAGCTAGTTAGCCTTTTCACAATGTGTACATATTTCAAAACAACATGTAATGCTGAATACATCCAGTTTTTAATTTTAAAAAGTGGTTACAATGATAAAACAACAACCAACCAACCAACCAACAAACGTGTAGCATCTGAATAAGAAAGGAAAGAAAATAGGCAAGGTAAGCAATAATTACTTTCTTCATCACAGGGCAATGGGCAGGGCGTCTCCCTTCCAGCATTCCCATTACTCACTTGGACAGCGACTTGTTCACAGGATTCTGGAGATAAATGAGATCACAGCTGAGAATCTAGTGGAGCCTTGCTCTGTCCTATTTCCATTTGGTTAGACCTCACCTTGCTTCTCCTTTCTTCTCCTGTTTCTACCTATACCCCTGTCTGCATATACTGCTGCATGAAGGTGTTTGTGCTTTATTGATTCCTGGCCAATCTCTCTCTACTTTCTCCTTTTGTCTCTTGTTTCTGTCTCTCTTCTTTGGTGAGACTCTGCAAATCTTCCCCTTTCTCTCTCAGTTTTTTGCTTCTAGCTTTCTTCCTCCAGGTGTTTGTCATCAGTATGTCAGTGTATCAGGCTCATCCGTATATCAGGCCCCTTCTGTGTCTGTGTGATTTTCCCCTGCTTGTTAAACAGGTGTCTCCTTGCATTGTGCATTAGACTCTTCCTCTGCCACCAGCCAGGGCCCCTTGGCTCGTCCCCATTCACATGAACCCAGTCAGTCTTACCTGTTGGCTCAGTCTTTTGGGCACTTTGCTCATTTGTTTGTTGGCTTCCTAGCGAACCATTTTTGTCACTGGTTGTATCTTTTCTGTCTGCATTTATCTCTTCTGTTTCACAGGGGTGCTCTGAGAGTCCATTTTCAGGTGGGGTTGTACCTAAACCATGGTTTGATTCACAGATATTTTATTTGCCCCCTGCTGCCCGTCACTCCCTTCCAACCACTACAGCATGGGCCACTGAGGGACGTAAGATCAAGGCACCAAGCAACAGCCAGACTCAAGCAGATGCAGGCAGAAAATGGTGAAGCAGGCACATGGGTAAAACGGCCAGGCTCAGCGGCAGCAGGAACAAGCAGCAAGTGTGCTTAAGGGGTGTGGGAGGAAGAAACCCTCCTAGGCAAGATAAGGACTTGTTACTTAAATCCCAGAAATGGAAAAACTGTAGATGTAAAAACTGAAAATTCTGGGCAATCATTAACACAAAGAGGCAACCCCACAGCACGTTTCAGAATGGGGCAAGGATAGCAGAGGCTCAAAGAGTAGTAAACAGGAACAAACCATCATGAGATGGGGAATCCCAACGGGGCCAAGTCAGGCTTTGAAAAGAGTTTTCACCAGTTCCTGGCAGGAAGAAATTAGAAGTTTATTTCAGAAATTGAGGTATGGATCTTGCCATTCTCTTCTAATCCCTTTTTGGTCTCTGTAATGTAGGAGTTAAAGACCCCTTCTAAGTCTCAGTGCACAGGCCATCTGGAGCTGGCAGATGCCACCTAATTATTGAAGTCAGACTCCAGCCTCGAGAGTAGGGGACTGGGTCAGCTGCACCCCTGGCTGACAGGGGCCTTGACCAGACAACCCTGCTGAGTGTCCTCTGTGATACACTCCAGTAACTGACTATGGCAGAGTGATCCTGCCTTTGTCCCCAGAGCTACCCTGCCCGGGGCCCTTAGCTCAGTTTCTTCGAAGTCCTGGTTGCCTCATGCCCACCCCCTTTTACACAACACCCTCCCTCTCCACATCTGTTTATGCTTTCTCACTGGCTTTTCCATGAGGACTCAGTGTCTGAGTAGCCTCTGCTTCCTCCAGCTCTTGGTATTCTTTTTTTCTGGATCTTTTTGTCTGCAAACATTTCCTCATTTTTCTGTGTTTATTTTTTCTAGATTTCCTGGATAGCACAGAGTTAGGAATGCAGGCTCTGGTGTAGAACACCTGGGTTTTTCCTTGTTCATCTGACCCTAGGTAAACTCCATTTGTGGTATCTCTGAATTTCAGTTACCTTATCTGCAAAATAGGCATATAAGTAATATTAATCTCCAATGGCTGTCATGAGCATTAAACCAACTGCCACAGAGTAGATGTTCAATCAAAGTGAGCTGTTAATGGCACGGTGATTTTTGTTGTCTTTTACCCCTTTTTACAGTTTCATTTCCCTTCCTTCGTCCTCTAGGTATCTACACCCTCTTCCATGTGCACCACTTCCTTTCTGAGTCTCTCTACAAGACCGCCTTTCTCTTTGAATGTTCCTGCTCTTAAACAACATCCTCACATTTAAATTTTTCCCCTATTCTGCCACCTCCAAGTAGCTCCCGTGATATCATAAGAAATATACATTTCAGTCTTCATTCCCTGCTCCTGGTCAGAGCTCCCAAAACCCTTGAAACATCCTAAGTCATGACAAGTGAAAAGAGCACTTTCTGTTATTCATAACAAGCCCCTTTCGACCACATCTGGGTTCATGTTAATGAGGTAACTTTTGGAAAGCCCCTAAGGATTGGGGGGTGGTTGCCAGGGGAGCTGAACGTGAGATCAGACAGTTGGAACTTTCAGCTCCACCTCTTGACCTACAGGGAGGGGAGAGGAGGAATGGAGGTTAACTTAATAATCAGGTAGCAATGATTTAATCAATTCAGACTGTATAATGGAATGTCCATAAAGAACCCTAAGTGACTGGGTTCAGAAATCTTCTGGGTTGGCAAACACATGGAAGTGCCAGGAGAGTTGTGTCCCAGAGAGGGCAGAAGCTCTGTGCCCTTCCCCACGCTTTGCCCTATGCATTTCTTCCACTTGGCTGTTCTTGAGTTGTATCCTTTATAATAAATGTCAGACATTTCCATGCGCTCTGTGCGATCTACTAGGAAAGTATCGAAGCCAATGAAGGGCGTGTGGGAACCTCCAATTTACAGGAAGTTGGTCGGAAGCACAGGCCACAACCTGAGACTTGCAACTGGCATCTGAAGTGGAGGGCATTCTTATGGGAATGAGCTATTAACCTGTGGAGTCTGTGCCAAGTCTGGGCAATTAGTGGCAGAATTCAATTAAATTATAAGATATCAGGTGGTATCTGCAGAGAATTGGAGAACTGATTGGTGTGGGGAGACCACCGACATGTTTGGTGTCAGAAGTGTTGTGAATATGACAGTACAGGTAAAACAGGAGCCTTTCTTTCTCCAAGGGTCTCCTTTTTGATGTTGACCATGGACCATGGGCTGTGGTTCTTAACCCTTCACAACTTCACACAGATCCCCTACAGGGAACTTTCTAAATCACAATTACTTCTAGGTAGCTGGCATCTGTAAATCTGGCCTAGTGACACACTTGGCTCTGATTCCCTTATGGTTATTGAACCAACTATGTCTTGTCATGGCCACTTCTCCAGAACCCTGCATCTGGTTAGGAGCTCATATAACCCCCTCCTTGACTTCTCCATTGTCCTTCCATATGTCTTCCCTGATTCACAATCTCCACTCAGAACCTTGGATCCCTAACCACTCTTAGAGATAGTTTTTATTCTGTCATTTTTACCTTGTTCAAGACTTAGTTGGATGCCAGGCCTCTCCTCCCTCTCTTCTCCATCACTTTCTCGGAGAGGCAATTTGTCTTGGATTACTGAAGAGTGGGAGAGAGAAGACGCAATTAGAGATATACAGGGACCAGGGACAATGTCTGGAAATCATGCTTTTAGGAATTTCCAGTCCTTGGGTGACTCAGAGCTCAGAGGGTTCCTCATGACCTAAAGTTCTCCTGTTATCCCTTGGGACAGAGAAGAGAAGACCCCAACAATGAAGGCTTTATTGTCCTACACAGAAAGGAGACACTCAAGATTTAAGGATAAAGGAGTAATGGAAACATTGTGAGCTATGTTACCCTCAAAATTGTCAGATGGCAGGGTAGGCATATATCAAGTGTAAGGAAGAAACTGGGGAATTTCCTGGGGAGAAGGTCTCAAGTCCTAGAAAGATTCCATTTTTTTATAATCAGCCAGGTGCAGTGGCTCACACCTGTAATCACAACACTTTGGGAGGCCAAGGCAGGAGGATTGCTTGAGCCCAGGATTTTGAGACCAGCCTGGGCCACATAGCTAGACCTCATATCTGAAAAAAAACCAAAATTAGCTGGGTGTGGTATTGCACACCTGTGGTCCCAGCTACTCAAGAGGCTGAGATGGGAGGAACACTAGAGCCCAGGAAGTTGGGGCTGCAGTGAGCCGAGATTATGCCACTACACTCCAGCCTGGGCAACAACAGATTGAAACTCTGTCTCAAAAAAACGTAAATAGAAAAAAAGTGAGAAAACCTCAATATCTTTAAAGATGAGGCTAGAAAACAGGAGAACGTTGTCTTAATTGGGTTGGGGAGGATGAACAGTTCTCAAATAAACATAACAGAGGACACAGGGGCAGCTTGTGTGAACTTCAGGGTCTGAGAGTCAGCAGCATCTCCCTGAGGGTGGGTGGGCTGCTGTGCTGGATGGGGTGATGTGTGGTGCTGTCTCAGGTCAGTGACAGTGATCCTCAGGGCAGGTCACCCAAGCACCAGGAGCGCCAGAAACTAAGACATGAGTTGAGGGCACTGGAGCTAGGAAGGGGGATCCCTGCAGTCCATGGAGAGGAACAGAACCCCTGAGAATGTGGGCAGTAAAGATAGCACCATTCCCTTCCATCCCCACAGCCTGGACCATCCTGGTTACAAACATTGACTTCAAATTTGTGCCCAGGTATTTGATTTCCTTTTATTCCTTTTCTGACTTGAATATTTGCTATAGAAATTATTTTATTATTAATCTAGATAAGGTTAGTATTGATACAAATCAATAAGCCATATGCAACTACTGCATACATTTCTTTCCTTGTTCATAAACCTGTAGTATTTCTTGATTGCCTAGTAAGTAAACTTCAAATTCCTTAGCTTTAAATTCCAGACCATTCAATATCTTCCTCCAGTTGATCTAAGTCAGCTCCTATGTTGCTTCTCACTCTCAGATTTAGCCAAATCTAATTTGTCCTGTTTTGCAGACATGCTTTCAAACTTTTATTCCAGTTCCCATAGCATCCACCCTCTTCAGGGCGTGTGCCAGTTTCTCTTGTGATGTCTCCATCTCTTATTTGGAGAACTGGATTGAGATCAAACTGTGTGGGAATAAAAAGTTTTCCAGGCAAGTAAAAAAATTGTAGGACGTCTTTAATGTGTACCATTTTAACAGTATAAATTACTCATTCTCAGGAAAAAGGTCAAGAATAAAACCTTTAGTTTGGTATAGCACCAAAAATAGTCCCTGGCAGAGTAATTGGTTTTGTCATTGCTTAATTAATCTTTGTTTCATCCCTTTTGGATAAAGGGTTAGCAAAACCACTTCTACTTCACTGAAGGCAAACTTGACCCAGGGTTAACTTTCTTGCTCATATTCTGAAAACCTAATAAAGATAACCTTTTTTGCAGTGTTACTGGGCAAACAGAGGTTAGAAATGACCCATGACTGGTTGACTGGGACTATGTATGGACAACAAATACCTGTGGGGAAGCCATAGTTGTGGTCTTCCTTCAACTGATAACTCTTGTAACTCAGTTTGCTCCTGTAACTCAGCTTGCCCATATGGGGTCCTGAAAGCTGTTACTATGGAGTTGTTACAAGAGACATACACTCCCATAGGCATGTGGTGCTGAGCCAAGGTGGATCCTGCACCCACAGCTAAGTTGTCACTCAGGGCAGGTAGTAGTCAATTTGGTGGACTGCTATGTAGACCACTGCAAGGGCTCCCACTGAAGAGAAGAAGCTGCCCTATTGGGATTCTGTTTCTTACTTTATGCTCTTCTAAGTAAATCTGATGCCAGTGTTGCTCTGGTTGTCCTGTGAGTCCAAGTTGCCAGTGAATCCGACATCCAGGTGCTTGTTTTACCATGACCATAAGCCATGAGCTTTGAGAAGACTCATGACATGTCTATTTTGTTAACTACTCTATCCCCACTGCCCAACAAAATGTGTCACACATGGTAGGAGCTCAGTATACACTTATTGAAAAAAATCGACCCTGGAAATCAAAAGGTAGATAATAAATCTAATTACCATTTTTGAAGCTTTCATAAATGTGAATTAAATCGGGGTATTCCTGCAGGTTGACCTCGCTGAACAGTGCTTCCAGAACTGGCAGGCTAAACATCTTCTCCAGTTCACTGAGAACATTGTACACTACTCTCTGTACAGGGACCAGGTTTCTACAAGAATCTTGAGAATCCTTAAAAAATATTGAATGGAGAAAATATAAATACAGACTTCCAAGTTACAGAAGAGCTCTAGAAAGGAATTCTATGGTTACTGTATTCTAATTTCTCTACATAAGTATTTTCATGTGAAGTTCTATAATTTTTACTTATTGGTATAGCCAGTAATGAAAGAAGTAAATCCCTTCTCCTTAAAAATACCCACTGATGAGCCTGATTGCCTCACCCTCATTTACATTAGATGCAAAAAGGGGCAACTTGGAAGGATAAAAGTGGGCTCAAAGTCCTTTAACAGCCTGATCCATATGTTTTTGGGATAGACGTAGCAGGCAATTGATGAATGGCTGTTTTGTTGGCTGGACAACCCCTGCTCTTCCCCCAAGACTGATTTGGCCTGAAGGGCTCAAGGAAACCAGGTGACCGTTCTCCCCTTGCTGTGAACTTGGCCACAGAGGAAGCATATTCATAGCCAGAGATGACTCGCTGCTCTGTATCTCCAACAGGGCCTATGGGTGGAATTTATCCATAGTCCAAGACTCCAGAAATGCACAAAAAAAGGAAAGAAAAAGAAAACACATGTGTTGGAGAAAGAATAACAAGCATTTACCTCCAAATTTGTCCTCTCTAGACACCAATTCCCTGTGGGTTTTAATGTTCTCAGATCTAGGTATTTTAAATTGATGTTAACTGGAAGAAAATGCGGTGCCAATTGCTATTTCAAGTAAATCAGTTCATTAAAATTATTTTTAAGTTCTAGTTTATGTTATAGTGTATGAATTCTACAAAACACTGTACATTTATGGAGAACACCTGTTTCTATTCCAGTTTCTCCAGTACCATTGACCCCAACTCCAGAGGGCGCCATGGAACACTATTCCCTCAGCTGGAAGCAGGACCATCTCCGGTGACCTCTGCTTCTCCCCTCCTTTTCTACTTTACAGGAACACTTACAGAAATACTTGAAAAAGTTCCCCACTCATAGGAAACCTGTCAGCAAGTTGTACCCTGAAGTTTTGGTCTAGGATATCAAAGCATAACTTACTTTGGGGCTGGCTTACCAGATTGTGACATAATAAACTTTACTCACTTCAAACATTTTATTTGTGATGAGTTCACGGTCACGGAGGCCCTCAAGGAATGGAAATGTCTTTTTTATTGCATTTGAAATCTCCACCTTATGTCTTTTGAAGTGCTTGAATACAGCGTCACAGAGAAGTCTCTCATCTACATCCTGGTCTTCTGTGAACATCCTAGGGAAAAAGGACACTATGTGAAAATGGTTGTCAAGATTCTGAGATGTTTGTGGAGACTGTAAGACTTTACATATAAAAGACAAGCTACAAAGAACGAACACATATAAAATAGGTGATACTCAGTAGAGGCCAGAATAAATGGAATTTAAGCAACAAAAAAGATGTAATAGAAGAAATGGAGGTTGTGAAAAACTAATATAGAGGACTGAAAAAGTTCTGCCTAAACTGAACAAAGCCATTGTAAAGATACCTTCACCTAACCCTATATGAAATCTTTTTTGAAATAAAAATTAAATTCCTACAGAATCTAGATGGAATAAGCAAGTCATCCACAGAGAAATGAAAAACCATGGAATAAAAATAAAATCTAACCTTGAATATGCATCTTAATTAACAACTGAGAGAAAACAAATCTGAGAAAGATAAAAATAAGATGTCCCTGTCTAATCTGTAGCTTTAAGAAAGAAATAAAATCCTATATCATATCATTAATTCATAAATAATACAATGCAGTTTAATAATAATAATGATACCACATTATTAAGAATTTCATGAGAATATCAATGATATCTCCTAGAATGTCTGATTCTACTTTCTGTTAATATAAATATCTCTGTATTATTGTTACATATGGTAAACCATTTTAGGCATCTGAATTTCAGAAATTGCTGTTGTTTTCTGTGAAAGTAATTTTAAAGTTGAATCTCTAATTCTAGTTCTTAGTTGATTATTTTATTGCTCTGATAATGTTTTAGTCAACGTCTCAGTATTCCTTAATATTATGAAAACTTATGAGCCCTTCCTTCCCAACCAGAAGAGAATTATTGGCACTTTCCAGTATCTAACATGAGGCAGGAAACAATAATGTTACATTTTTGTTTTGAATTTCTGTGAAAAAAGTTTCTGGTTAAAGATCATTAAAATAGGCCGGGCGCGGTGGCTCAAGCCTGTAATCCCAGCACTTTGGGAGGCCGAGACAGGCGGATCACGAGGTCAGGAGATCGAGACCATCCTGGCTAACACGGTGAAACCCCGTCTCTACTAAAAAATACAAAAAACTAGCCGGGCGTGGCGGTGGGCGCCTGTAGTCCCAGCTACTCGGAAGGCTGAGGCAGGAGAATGGCGTAAACCCGGAAGGCGGAGCTTGCAATGAGCTGAGATCCGGCCACTGCACTCCAGCCTGGGCAACAGAGCGAGACTCCGTCTCAAAAAAAACCAAAAAACAAAAAACAAAACAAAACAAAACAAATCACTAAAATAATAACAAAGGAATTAGATTCACAATGACAAAAAGAATGGCAGAGAACAATAAGCAGATAAGAGATTTCAAATAAAATCTTGAAGGTGAAAAGTGGTCAGAAAAGTGCTAGTTGCAATAGTAGGTAGGGGATGGATGCTTTCAGAGGTTAGGAATCATGGTGCCCTACAGAATTTGTAAGAAACAATGGAGATTTGAAGGGAGACACAGAGCCAAAAACTGATGTGTTATTTGAGAAATGAACAGAACATGTATGCCCTGCCTGTCAACCCACATGCTGACCACATGCAGCCAGGCAGCCTCTCAGGGGCAACCAATGCTGTCATTTTTTTACATCATATGTTGATACTGCCTGCTACTGGATTTCGTACAAATGGAATAAAAGACATATATGCTTTTGTGTCTGCCTTCTTTTGCTTATCAGTTGTGTTGATGTGTTGAACAGTAGTTTGTCCATTTTTGTTGTTGAGTGGTATTGTATTGTGTGAATCTATCACAATCTGCTTATTCAATTTTCAGTTCATGGCCATCGGAGTTGATTCCATTTTGAGACTACTAGAAATAAAATTGCTGCTCTTGCACAAGTCTTTTCGTGGCAAGATGTTTTCACTTCTCTTGGGTAAATATATAGGAGTGGAATTGCTGGGTCATTGTGTAAGAGTACTGTTAATCATTTTAGAACCTGCCAAACTGTTTTTCAAAGACTATCAGAGAGAGCGTTTCTAGTTTTAGCCATTCCAGTGTGTGTGATGTGATATCTCATTTTAGTTTTAATTCATATTTCTTTAATGATAAAATGATGTCAAGCACACTTTCATGTGCTAATTGGCAATTTTTTTTTTTTTTTGTAAAGTGTCTGTTCAAGTCTTTGGCTCATTTATATTATTCAGTTTTACTTATTGATGGGTAGGAGTTTTTAAAATATGTTATGGATAGAAATGTTTTGTCTGATGTATATATTGTGAATATTTTCACCCAGTCTGTAGCTTCTCTTTCATTTTCTTAATCATGTCTTTTGATGGGAAGAAATCTGTAATTTTGACGAAGTCCAATTTATTATTTTTTCTTTTATGATTAATGACTTTAGTGTACTATCTAAGAAATATTTGCCTACTCAAAGGTCATGAAAATATTCAAAAAACAATTTACAATATAAGCACGGGTTTATATATGTACTTTCTATGCTATACCATTGATCTATTTGTCTACCCTTATGCTGATAAGAATTTGCCTTAAATATCATGGCTTAACAATGGTCTTGAAGTCAATTAGAAAAGATTGTCTTGGATTTTCTAGATTCTTTGCTTTTGTACATATCTTCTCAAATCAATTTGTCAATTTCTATAAGAAAAGACTTTAGAATTTTTTTTGGATTTGTATTGAACCTACAGATAAATTTGAGGAAGCTGACAACAATATTGAGCTTCCAATCTGTTAACATTGTATATCTCTCCATTTACTTAGATGTCTTTAATTTTACCCAGCAGTGCTTATAGTTTTTAGAAGTTATGTACATCTTTCCTTAAATTTATTCTTCTCCAAAAACCTATTGAAATAAAAAATTAAATTTAATTAAATTTAAAAAATAATAAATTTATTCCTAGTTATTTTATTGTTTTGGTGTCACTTTAAATGATAATGCTTTTCAAATTCCTCTTTTACTGTTATATGAAAATATAATTGGTTTGAAATGTATTAACCATGAATTTATGGCATTACTAAATTCATGTATTATTTCTAGTAAATTATTTATAGATTTCCTTTGTATTTTAAAGAAAATATCTATATCATCAACAAATAGACTGATTTACTGTTTCTTTCCAAACAATTATTTTCTTTCTTTGGTCTTATTTCACTGGTTAGGAGTTTGAATACAATGTTGAAGAGAAGTGGTGAGAGTGGACTTCCTTGCCTTATTTCCAATTTCAGGGACGAAGCACTTAGCAGCACCATTAAGTGTGATGTTTGCTATACCTTTATACATATTCCTGCTTCTTTCTTTCCTTCCTTCCTTCTTTCCTTTCTAAAAGATTTGAAAATAACTACTGATTGAGTGAAATCAGACCTTATAAAACTTTATGTAACACTGAAAATAAAAATAAAAAGCGGACATAGTTTGCATTTTTTAGAGAGACAAAACAAGGAAAACAATGAGTTGTAAAAGATAAAACAGGAAGTCCTAGCCCAAGCAGTCAGACAAAAGAAAGAAATAAAGGGCATCCTAATCGGTTAAAAGGAAGTCAAACTGTCACTGTTCACCAATGATATGATAGTATCCTAGGATATAGATCTGATAAATGAATTTAGTAAAGTTTCAGGATACAAAATCATTAGTAGCACTGCTATACACCAACAATGATCAAGCTGAAAATAAAATCAAATCCCTTTTACAACACCTGAAAAAAAAAAAAAGCAAAACAACAACAACAACATCAACGACAAAAAAACAAAACACCTTAGGATATACCTAACCAAGGAGGTGAAAGTTCTCTGTGAGGAGAACTACAAAACACTGCTGAAAGAAATCACAGATGACACAAACAAATGGAAACACATTCCATGCTCATGGATGGGTAGAATCAATATTGTGAAAATGATCATACTGCCCAAAAGCAATCTACAGATTCAATGGAATTCCCATCAAAATATCACCATCATTATTCTCAGAACTAGAAAAAGAACCCTAAAATTCATATAGAATCAAAAAAGGGCCCACATTGCCAAAGTAAGACTAAGCAAAAATTCCAGAATCTATAAATAACTTAAACAAATTAGCAAGAAAAAAATTCAGATAATCTTATCAAAAAGTGGGCAAAGGATATGAATAGACAATTCTCAAAAGAAGATATGCAAATGGCCAAGAAATACATGAAAAAATTCTCAACATCACTAATTATCAGGGAAATGCAAGTCAAAACCACAATGCGATACCACCTTACTCCTGCAAGAAAAAGCATAATTAAAAAACAAAAACGTGATAGATGTTGGTGTGGATGTGGCAAAAAGGGAACACTTTACACTGCAGGTGGGAATGTAAACTATTGCAACTGCTATGGAAAACAGTATGAAGATTCCTTAAAGAACTATCATTTGATCCAGCAATCCCACTACTGGGTCTCTACCTAGAGGGAAATAAGTCATGATACGAAAAAGACATTCGTACACACATGTTTATAGCAGCACAATTAGCAACTGAGAAAATGTGGAACAAGCCTAAATGCCCACCAACCAATGAATGGATAAAGAAAATGTTATATATAAATATATATATATATAAAAATATATATATATATATCACATATATACATACATACCATGGAGTACTCCTCAGTCATAAAAAGGAATGCAATAATGGCGTTCTCAGCATCCTGGATGGAGTTGGAGACCATTATTCTAAGTGTAACTTAGGAATGGAACCAAGAATCATTATCTTCTCACTTATCAGTGGGAGCTAAGCTATGAGAATGCAAAGGCATAAGAATGATATCATGGACTTTGGGGATTCAGAAGAAAGGGTGGGAGGGGAGTGAGAGAGAAAAGAATACACACTGAGTTCAGTGTACACTGCTTGGGTGATGGATGCACCAAAATCTCGGAAATCACCACTAATGAATTTATCCATGTAACCAAAACCACCTGTTCTCCCCAAAAACTATTGAAATAAAATAAAGATAAAGTGGAAAAAGTATGAAAAATTATTTAAACAGAATGTAAAGGAAAAATGATATTGAAAGGCAAT